GTACGCATTCGCAAAAGCGTTTTGTTCTAAAATAAATCGTCACTTTTGAATGAGTGATGTTAACTTTAACAAACAGTATAATATTAACTACTCTAACGTTGAAGGTATGCGTATCTGGTGAGCGAGATTTCAAGTGAGTTGAAGCGCATTCCACTGGCAAATCAACGCCGCATCAACGCGATTCTGAAACGATTTGAACCGCTACGACAAAATTTAGTGTTGTTTCAAAACGAGAACAGTAGAAATGGCAAAGGTTTCTTGAAATTGTCTCTGTTTTTGATAGTTGCATTTTTATTTGCTGCTATGATTTGTCATGTTATCATTATTATTTATTGTTTGTCTTCCAACAGGAAATTCAGGGTCAGCAATCGGATTGGAAATGGCGCAGGAAAGAGATGAAACCACGATTAACGAGGAAGAATCGAGTTCATCCGAGCGGAGAAAAGGCATCGAGTTTGATCAGAGAGAGACAAATGCAGCATTTCGAGGAGTGGTTAGCTATAATAATAATTGTCATTACTATTGTCAGTGATAATTAGAGTATGCTTGATATGTAACAAGTTCAGGTTGGACGTAACTTATCGGCGTGTGATCGGTATATGAGATGTCATCATCAGGTTAGTTCATTGCTATTCATTATTCATCGACATTATTGTTTTCGTTTGTTTGATTACAGATGGTGATTGGGTTAGATCGATGTGGCGTATTGTCGAACTTGAATTCGACGTCGTTATCGACAGAGTCGTTATTAGAAGTTGAGGATAATGAATGTCTGAGCAAGAGGCATGATGAGGCATACAACCATCTATATGAATTGGTCATGAAAAGGAACAAAAAACTTCGACAGTGTCTTGGCGACGAGGTGCTTCGATTTATTATTATTAGTAGCATCGGCATTGTTATTGCTATTTTTGTTATTATTGTTGGATATAAATAATTTTTTGATTTTAGCAAAATTGGGAGTGTCTTCGAAGAGAATCAATTCAGAAAATAGTGGTTGATGAAATAAAATTCGATGGCATTAAATCGATTAGAGAATGCTACTCAAATGTGAATGTGTTGCAGTTTAAATGTGCCCAAATTCGACAGTGCTGTCCGAGTTATTTCACGTTGGCGCTTTAGTCTTTATGTTATAGCTGTTATTATTATTGCCTTTATCCATTATTTATTATCGTTTATTTATCGTTGTTATTACGACTATTATTTTATTACTGTTCAGATGTCGTGAACAGACGGCAGATGCAGAAGTGGAGAGTCAAATCATCAGTTTGACAGCGGCTCTTTCGGCGGAGAAGTATAGATGTGTGTTGAAGAAGAAGGGACGAATTTGATTTCATTGTTGTTTCATCAGTGAGAAATTTAAGTTTATAGTTGTTATTATTATTGATTATTGTGTGCTTGGGTCTCTTTGTCTTTCTTGTAAATAGCCTATTTTGAAGTGTTTATTTACTTTTATTGATTGTATTTATTTTTATCCGATTCACTGCATAGAAGTTATTAATATTGGCACTTTGAGTACATCCATACGTTTATAATGAAACAACACAAACAAAAGGAAGAAAATGTCACAAAACGATTCCCATCTTCTTGACTAGTTGTTAGACTGCAACACATTCA